GTCTTCTTACTCTTCTCATGATTACTGTGTTTCTTATCACCACGATGGTGTTTCTTAGAGGGCTTCGACCCCCCACACATCGACGCATCGAGGCTGGACTGCCAATGGATCGCCGACAGGGGCGTGATGGCCCACCCCGCCCTGGAACGTGGGGCTTCGCTGCCGGGGACCTATCGCCGATCTATCAGCGATGCATCGCCGGTTTCAGGACGATTTGCCCCCTCATAGGCCAGGGGCAACGGCTACGTTCCTTTTTTTGCAGGCCACGTCTCGACAGACAAAACACGACATCCAAACAAACTTTCGGAGTGCCGCGTGGACTCCTCGCATCGGCTCTGGGACCCCCCTGGCGGCGCCCCTGGCGCCGACCCTGATGCGCTCTGCGCGCCAAGGAGGGGGGCCCAGCGCCGATCCAAGAAATCCGCGCGGACCTCCGAGAAATAATGCTGATACAGTTGCTTGTTCCTGGAGTTAGGTCGGGCATGTTCTCCTACAGGCGGATTCGGGACGAAGGTTTAAAGATAGTCAAAAAAACATAGAAATGCTAGAAAAATCGTCCCCCGAACTATTCTAACTATTTTTGAATATTTAGATCTGCGTTCGCTCGTTCGCAGGCCATTGGTCGCACGCCACACCGGCTCTGCAGGGGAAGAAGGTGAGTCGCACAGGAAGCGGGAACCGGAGGTCGGAGAGTACACTCAAGCATCATGTGAGGGACGAGTGGGGAAACAATATTGTCTAACGCTTGCTTTCCAACTCGGCTGCCCATGAACTGCAAGAATCGGCGGCGAGCCCGGGGGGAAGTGAGAAAGGGCGGACCTTCTCAGAAGGTTCTGAAGTCCCCCGGCCTCCTGAGAAGGATTCTACGCCTTCGCCGGAGGCACAAAACACTCCTCAAGGGGGGGAGGGATTCCAAGAAGTCCCACCGCCTTGGCGACGGCCTTCTCCTTCACACCTCCCCCGCTTACCGCCAACAGAAGCGGGTGCCCGCGGTTGCCTGGATCGCGTTGGCCCTCGAAGCCGCATCAGGGGGAAGAAGGGGCGGCGGGGAGGGGAGGCGGCGGAGATGGCGGCAGGGGACAAGGGTCAGACGCCACTGCAAGCATCGCGGGGGGATGGGCAGCTGTTGCGCGGGCCCGCGCGGGCGGCCTGGACGACCTCGGCCGTCGATGCACGCCTCGAACATCTATGCACGGACACGCGCCAACTGGTTTTCACTGTGCCTTCAGGGAGAGTGGCGGTGTGTTTCAAATCATTGGCCCGTGGTGGTGATTCATACGCCGCCGTCCTCACTCACCCTGTCATCGCCCTGTCGCCTAAGATCGTGCAGGCCTCGCTGTCGGCTGCCTATCACTGATCTATCGGCGATGTATCTCCGATTAAGGCTCGATGTTCCTCCTCCCCCCCTGAAACCAGGTCACCCCCCGACGTGCTCCCTCGGGGTGCGTGTCCCAAGGTGGCGTTCGGGAACGAAGCCAGCTGAGTGTGCACATGTCCTTCTTCCAAGGGCTGCTTAGGGCGATTATCCATCACATTCCCACCTCCGCCGACCAGGTCTGGGGGCGACCCAAATGCGCAACCGGCCCGGTCTCGCGGCAGGGCTTTTGGGTCGGCCAGGATCAGTCAGCGCTGGCCCGGGTTGGCGCGTGTTCCCTCGGGGTGCGTGTCTCAAGGTGGGGTTCGGGAACAAACCCAGTCATCGCCCTGTCGCGCACTTCCCCCCTCGCCGTGTGGGCGGCAGCGATGGGCCGAGTCAATGGGGACGGTCACAAGTGGGAAAATCCCACTCGAAACGATCACCCCCGGAGAGGACGCGCGAACGCTTTCATAGTGCGGCGCCTGCCGACGCGCCACCCCCCCCTGGGGCCTCCGCCAGGGGCCTCAGGTTCGACCCCCATGTCACGATGAGCTCAGAGGGGAGCCCGAGAGCCCGCCCTTCGCCTAGGAACGTGCGACCTCGTTGTCGGTGGCCCATCGCGCCACCGTCGCCCCCGAGGGGGACGGTGCTGCGACGCCAGAATATGACCACATCCACTGCCGCTTGGTCGTGCTCCGAGGGCTCGGGGAGCGGTGGCTATGAACGTCTGCCCGCCCGCGCGGGCGGGCAGATACCCAGCTCCACCGCTCCCCGAGATCTCACAGGCACGACTCCCACGCGGTGGATGTGCACATCACCTGGCGGTGCATGCGCTCGCGCAGGGGGCGCCTCGCACCCGCGAGCCGGGCGGAGCCCGCGGCCAGGGCCGCCGCCAGCAGCCACGCGGCGCGCGGGCCGGCGCACCGCGCGCCGCCAGCGCCGGGCGGCGCCATGGCGCGGCGCGCGGCGCGCGGGCCGCGGTGGTGCCGCCCCGCGGGGGAAGCGGCCCCTGCTCGGGTGAGAGGCGAAGCGATGCGAGGCGAGGGCATCATCCTCCTCCTCCTCCTCCTCCTCCTCCTCCTCCTCCTCCTCCTCCTCCTCCTCCTCCTCCTCTTCCACTTCCTTCGCTTCCTGAATCCTCTTCCTCCGTCCTCCACCTCGCTCGTTTTCTACTCCTCCAACCCGCCTTCCTCCTTCGACCGTGGGAAAGCTGTCCCCAAGAACGCTGCCAGGGCCTCGGGGGTGAGAGCGCGCAAGAGCGCCTGGGAATCCCAGGAATGCTAGGCTCGCAGCCTGGTGCACTGCAGTCAGGGAGGAGGAACCCAGACCCCCTCGAGTCATGGGAAAAAAACACATCAGAAAGTGCTTCGCTACGTTCGGCCTCTGGAGGCCCTTGCCAGGCCCCGGGACCGTCAAAGAACGTCTCGGCATGAAAAACCGGCCCCAGGGAATGGGTCGAGACCTCTGGGGATCGACGTTATAGAAAAATCATGACGGGGGTCTGGGAACGGGGATGAGATGAGGCAATCGCTAAGCGAGTCACGAAAACACCGGAGGAGGCGAGAGGTGACCACACGTGGGCGCCTCATGCTTTCTTAAGGACATATTTCAATTCGCGGCGATAACTAGCGTCATGGGAGAGAGGGGGGCGGGGAGGGGGCGTAACTTTTCCCCATTTTCTCATGACTCTGTTTGAACGCAACGGGGAGGGGCCGGGGAGGGGGCAGAACGCAACGCCCCGCCCACCACGATGACATACTGTGTTGCCGGACGCACTGCGGCAGTGCCAGGGATGCACGGGGGGGAGGCGGGAGCGTTACATTATGGGGGGGGAGGGGGGGTCATAACGCGTTTTCTGGCCCAGAGGTAAAAAACACTCTCCTTGGTCAACCTCGCCAAAAAGAAGGCACAGGCGTTCACTTCGTGAACTTCCTCCGAAAGGCCGTTGCAGATTCGAAAAAGGCATTGCACTCGCCCTGGAGCTGACAGAGCCGCCGCGGGGACCTCTACACCCGAGGGGGGCTCCCGTGCGAGCCGGGGAGCCCCATCCGACCACACACGCACACGCACACACGCACACACGCACACACGCGCGCGCGCGCGAGGGCACCGAGCCGGCCAGGGCGGGGACCCGGGGCAGGGCGCGCGTCGCGGCACACCGGCGGCGGGCGCGGCGCGGGGGTCGCGCAGCCGTGGCGGCAGGCAGGCGCGCTGCCCGCGGAGCGGTCTCCACGGCAGGGGGGCGCAGGGAGGCGGGGTCCTGCGCGCGGCGTGCACGCCTGGCTGAAGAGTGGGGCGCCTGTGGGCGGGCCCCGGGGCAGGAGGCAAAGACTGGCAGAGGGGAGCTCCACTCAACACGGGTTGACGAAGCAAGATCGCGCCAAGAGATGGCCTGGCAGGGAGAGAACGAAGGAGGAGGAGGAGGAGGAGGAGGACGCGGCGAGGCAATCGTCGACACGGCGTCACGCGAGCCGCCGCTCACCAGCTGGTAGGCGCGCTGCACGAGGCCCATACGGTCCAGGCACATGTGGCTGCTAAGGCTGCGGCGGCCCAGCAACGGCGTGCTCAGGAGGCTGTCCCTTCCGTCGTGCTGGAACTGCTACGAATTCTGGTCTCTGACGTGGTGTTCGGCGAGCCGCTGCTGGTCCCAGTCGTGCTGGGAAGGATGCGGCTGCGTCACATGCCCGTACAGTGCAGGTCTCATTCGTTCTGGTGAGGCTGGTGCGACTACTCTCACATGTAACGCTGTCAGTGACGTCGGGGCCGCTGAGAGTGCTGCACGCAGACGTGCTGGTCGAACAGCCGCAGCTGGACTCAATCCTCCTCCTCCTCCTCCTCCTCCTCCTCCTCCTCCTCCTCCTCCTCCTCCTCTCCTCCTCCTCCTCCTCCTCCTCCTCCTCCTCCTCCTCCTCCTCCTCCTCCTCCTCCTCTCTCCTCCCTCCTCCTCCCCTCCTCCTCCTCCTCCTCCTCCTCCTCCTCCTCCTCTCCTCCTCCTCCTCCTCCTCCTCCTCCTCCTCCTCCTCCTCCTCCTCCTCCTCCTCCTCCTCCTCCTCCTCCTCTCCTCCTCCTCCTCCTCCTCCTCCTCCTCCTCCTCCTCCTCCTCCTCCTCCTCCTCCTCCTCCTCCTCCTCCTCCCTCCTCCTCCTCCTCCTCCTCCTCCCCTCCTCCTCCTCTCCTCCTCCTCCTCCTCCTCCTCCTCCTCCTCTCCTCCTCCTCCTCCTCCTCCTCCTCCTCCTCCTCCTCCTCCTCCTCCTCCTCCTCCTCCTCCTCCTCCTCCTCCTCCTCCTCCTCCTCCTCTCCTCCTCCCCTCGCGCACGCCCCTGTTGCGTTCGTGGTGGTACCAGGCGTAGTGGGTGTACCCCGACGGGGCGGGAGGGAAGGGAATGCGACAACTTTCCGCCTCCTCCTCCTCCTTCTTCTCTTCCACCGCCTCCTCCAACGCCTCCTCCTCCTCCTCCTCCTCCTCCTCCTCCTCCTCCTCCTCCTCCTCCTCCTCCTCCTCCTCCTCCTCCTCCTACGCCTCCTCCTCCTCCTCTGCCTCCTCCTGCAACTCCTCCTCCGCCTCCTCCTCCTCCGCCTCCTCCTCCGCCTCCCCCTCCTTCGCCTCCGCCTCTTCATCGTGGCTCGTCCATTCCTCATGGCTTTTCCATCCCCCGATCACTTTTGATGCACGCGCTGAACGGAGCCGACCGCGTCTGTGCAACAACGGCGCACCCCCGACCTCAGCATGCCAGAACGATCAAACGGCCCTGTGCATGCGCGCGCCCTGGACATGCGAGCCTAGCACGAGAGGTGGAGAGGGATCTGTCACGTCACGACCTGTCTGCGAGCGAAAAAAGGCTTCAAACTGCAAGGCAATGAACTCCCAGAGCAGCGCCACTTCGCACCAGCGAGGGCTGTTGATGCATGTTTCCTGTGCCCACAAGAGTAGAGAGGGGGAGGAAGGAGGAAGGTGGCAGGAGGAAACGAAGGAACAATTATAGGCCCGCAGGGCCCGCTACACTCCCCTCAACCTTTCCTCCCTCTCCTCCTCCTCCCCGTAAGTGAAGAAGCGGGCAGAGGGAGAAGGACCCCCCCCCAAAAAAAAGCCTCTTGGACGTCGGACTTCTCCCTGCCTCGCATCATCATTCCTCCTACTCCTCGAACAGAAAGTCAAACCGACAACCAGCAGCCGTAGGCGACGCTCCAAGAAATCTGGCGGCACATGGCCTTCGTGCGTGAAGTGACGTGGGCCCACGGGACTCGAACCCTTCCCCGAGGCCGATGACTCTCATCCTGGATCGTCGGTTGGCGGTCCTGGAGACCGAAGAGTGCCTCCGAAAGCATCGGCAGACTGGCCACCGAGATAAATTTTAGCGGCACCGGGACATGATGGTCGGGGATCTTCTGACCAGGGTCAATCCTGACCTGGGTCAGCAGGAAACCCAAAAACTGCAATGAAAGAGAAAAAAATGCAATGCAGGTCTTCGCAAACCCGGGTCAGCCAATATGCGCGGCCGCCTCGCGGCCACGAGCGGCTCGCTAACCCAGGTCAGCCAGGGGGGCTCTTCGCAGGATCCTGCAAGATCCAGTGCCCTGGCTGACCCCCGTTTGCATTGACCCCCGTCCCTTGAGCCCCGAGATGGTACGTACGGCGATACACCGCGCCCCCGTGCCCGTGGGTGCTGCTTACGACCGCCCTGAGAGCTGGGCCCGCACGCTCGGCAGCGCAGGAGGTCGTCCTCGACGGCTCACCGCGGGCGCGGAGGGCGGCGGCGGCATGCGGAGAGCCGTGGGGAGCGCAGAAGAAGTCCACTCCCTGTCTCCAGGGGGGAAGAGGGCAGGAGGGGAGGAGGACAGGAGGAGGACAGGAGGACAGGAGGAGGAGCAGGAGGGCAGGAGGAGGACAGGAGGAGGAGCGGGATCTGGGTTCTCCAACGTTCAGGCCCTCCTCGGCCTCCAGAGGCATCCAGGGCCCTTCTTGGGGCAGGGGGGGCCTCTGGAGGCCTCCAGAGACCTCCACATGAGGTGCAAGAGGAAGGGGAGAGAGGAAGAGGAGGAGGAGGAGGAGGAGGAGGAGGAGGAGGAGGAGGAGGAGGAGGAGGAAAGGAAGCAGAGGAGGAGCGGGGCGGAGGGGGGAAGGAGGGAGGTAAGTGGCGGAGAAGGCCAGCTGGGTGCGCTCGCTCCACATCTGATGTCCTGCCCCTTCAACCTATTCTGGGTTTCTTGGGGGGGGGCCCTCCCCGACGGGGTTCAACCTCGCCTCGTCGTCGCGCCGCAACGGGGTCGGAGCGCCTTCGGCGCGAGGTGGCTGCCCGCGACGGAGGTCGATGTGGGACTGTCGGCGGGGGTGACGCCCCCCCGACGCTTATTAAGAAACTCGGAGTCTCCCTGCGCACTGGCAGTGAATCCTCTTCTGCCTTGAAGGTTCTCCCTGGCAAATGGCGCGAGGCACGACCAGGGGTGGGGGGGGCGGGCCCCATCGGGGTGATGCAGTCAACCCGCAGAGCGAGCGTTGGCGAGCGAGGGGGGGAAGTGAGAATATAGGCCTCGGCGATGCATCGGCGATGCACCAGCGATGCACCAGCGATGCATCGTTCACGTCGGCGATGCGTCGGCGACGACGGCGTGGAGAAAATCTGGCCCCACATCGAGCCGCATCGGCGGTGCATCGGCGATGCGGCGCGATCCTCCGACCCCATCTACTCCGACCCCATCTAGGAGGCCTAGAGTGAGAAGGAGGAGGCCTTCTCAGAAGGCGGCGGGGCTTCTCAGAAGCGCTCGCGCCTTCTGCGAAGCTTTGTTTGCGTCTTCGGGGAAGGCTCAGAGAACGTCTGAGGAGAAGACCTGAGACCTTCCGAGCCGCCTGAGAGGGTCCGCCCCTTCTCACGTCACCCCCAGCTCGCCGCCGAACTCAGGACGCGCGGTAAGGATGCAGGGGCCTTGGCAGGCCATGTCGACACCTTTTGAGCGGGGCGCGGCCAGCGAAAGCGGCCAAGGAGGGGCTGAGGGGGAAGGATGAAGGGGCAACCTTGGAAAGTTGCTCAACCTTACTACAGGTTCGTGTCGTGCCAACACTGGCGTTGGTTCCTGACACCGCGGGGATCGTTCAACCTTGAACGATCGGCCATTTACGAAACTTCGGATCGTTCAACATGGACCGATTCTGGGTCGCCAGGGGCGTTCAACGTTGAACGCTGGCGGCGGGGTCGCCGCCAGTCGCCACGAAGCGAACCTACCGTATGCGGGCTGACTGCAAGGACCTGCGAGTGCCTTCGCGCGCCCGTCTTCGCGCCCTCGCGCCGCCACCCTGGACGATGCACCCCGTGCAGCCTGGAGCGGCAGGCACGGAGCGGGAAGCTGGTGGGTGGCCCAGCACCCCGAGTCATGCTGCCAGATAGCCAGTATCTGCCTGGATGGGCAAGAGAGACAGACAGAGAGGGGATGAGAGGGGAGGGGAAGGCTGACCATGACTGAACAGAGAGAGAGAGAGAGGATGGGAGGCGAGGGGAAGGTGCTAGCATGAGTGTATGGCTCTGTTGAGCTCTTCGGGGGACCTTCTTCGGGGGCCCCCTCGAGGCGTCTCGGAGGCCTTCCGGAACCCTCCGGGGACGTCTCGGTGCTCCCCAGACCTCCGACGCGCGGCACCGCAGGGAAGAGAGACAGAGAGACAGACAGAGAGACAGACAGACAGACAGACAGACAGACAGACAGACAGACAGACAGGCAGACGGGCAGACGGGCAGACAGACAGACAGACGGGCAGACGGGCAGACGGGCAGACGGGCAGACGGGCAGACGGGCAGACGGACGGAGACAGACGGAGACAGAGACAGAGACGGAGACAGACACAGAGACAGAGACAGAGAGGGAAAGAAAGCGAGAAGGGAGATAGAGAACGAGAGAGAGAGAGAGACAGAGAGACAACAAAACACTCTTGCCCCTCCTCCCTCCCTCCCCCCGTCCCTCCCTGTCTGCCTGCCTCCCTCCCTCACCGCATCCGCCCATCCCTACCCCCTCGTCCTCCTCCCCCCTCCCTCGCTGCTCCGTGCCGCAAGACGGGTGGCCCGCGTCCCACTCCGCCCCCCACACTCTTCGGATGGCTGCCTCGGCTGCGGTGGGCGGTGGGCCGCTCCCTCCGCCGGCATCGCTTGTTGGGGCGGGCGCCCGGCAAAAAAAACACGCGAGCGAGCGCAGGGAATAATTAAACTGATGGGCCCATTTTCCACCACCACTGCCATATGCAGGAGAGGGAGAAGGAGGAGGAGGAGGACGAGGAGGAGGAGGAGGAGGACCTCCTCGTCCTCCCTTCTCCCCCGACCTACACATGGTAGTGGTGGTGGAAACTTACCCATCATAACCAAAGAGACACAGCCGCACAACGAGCGCACGGAAGAGCAGGACCTGGAGGCGGAGGCCAACGAGCGGGAGAGCGCGAGGACGGCGAGGGGCGAGGAGGGGATGGAGAAGCTCGAGGCGACGACTCCGGCGGCAAGGACATCAGTAATCACGGCAGGTTCGCGTCGTGTCGACCCCAGCGCTGGTTCTGGGTCGCCACTGGCGTACAACGTTGAACGCCGGCGGCGGGGTCGCCGCCGTCGACACGACGCGAACATTCTGCGCTCAAATCCCAACCACCACCCGAGGTAGAACGATGTGGATTGGGCTTGCCCATCCTGGCGCGGCTCACAGGACCGGAACAAAGTTAGTTAGGAATCCCGATGCCAGGAGTGAGGGTCGGGATTCGGCAGGTGAAATGGGGAAAAGGAGGCGCTGGCAAGCTACGAAATCGCGAGTGGGAGATGATTATACAAGTGTGCCTCGCCAGACCTTCGCACTTACGGACGCCGGGGCGCACAAGAGGAAACCCTCGTGGAGTAACCACCCTGGCGGTGAAGAGCCCAAAGTGCAGTCCAAGAAGATGGCCTCACTCATGGAGGCAGCCATAGTAGATGCACGATGTTGATGAGGAATCTCCCATTGTGGTGGACCGCGTGAAAAGAGAGGTCGGTGGCGGGGGTCAACCGACTCCATCAGCGTGATGGAGGGTATCCCTGCAGCATGGTGTGAGCCAACCGAAGGACCTCTGGAGCATGTAGTAGTTCCGCAAGAAGGTGATCCATGCGTAGATGGTGCTGAAGGATCGCCACTGAGAATCACTATGGAGATCTGCAAGGTGTCCGAAGGCGAGTGCGCGAATAAAAACTTCAACTGCAGACCTCTCATAACTACACGGCCGACATTATCCAAGGCGTCTCCCTGTCAACAAGCGCCTGAAACAGCGCAGAGTGCTGCGTTCTCAACCGCGGTACTGCCACAGAGCTCACATAGGCGGCCATTACTTTCTATCGAGGCTCCAGCCGAGGACGCCAACGATGTCAGCAGAAATCTGCCCATGTGCGTTTGAGACCTCGTCGAAGCGAAAACTATGATCTGACCTGCGACCTTCGCGAGAAACCCTCGACCGTGGACCATAGACAGCCGCGAGGCGATCAGAGTCCTGGCCTGGGGGGCAACGAGGTTCAACTCTGCAACGGCGTCGCAGGGCAGCTCCGAGCTCCGCTCGCTGCGAGTCGAAGGCTGGAGGAAGAGGCGACAGAAAGACAGAGAGGGAGCGCGAGGGCGGGGAAAGGCGTCCGTCTCTGGGGCTCCATACAACCCCGATGGGCTCCTGGTGCCGCGCGCGAGGGCGGGCTGTCGCATCTACTAGACGTCCGGATACCCTCGCACATGGCAAGCCATCTGATCCGCAGGGGGGCATCTGTACACCACCACGATGCCTGGCCAGGGCCACTCTGGACCCCAGGACCGTGGGTGGACCCAAGCCTCGGCCAGGGGCGTAACGTACCGTGCTACGCTCCAGCGTGCACCTGGCCGGGCATGGTGATGGCATACGAATACTCTCTGCGGAAGCTGCGGGTCCGTGCACCAGCCCTGGGCCCTCCGCGCGCATATCCTTTGAGCAGCGCGAGAGAGGGGGCGGCTCCTACATGAAATGCTACTGCGTACTCCTAAAAATGCTCGCGAGGCTCCTGCTCCTCGCAGCCCGCCTACCGCTCACCGTCTTGCGCCGGATCCTCGGGAAGGGCCCTCTTGTGCCCCCCCTGGAACCCTTGGCCTGGCCACCACGCCGTATAGCGAGGGCAGTCCGAGGCTATCCGTGACCGCCCGAGGCTAACTACCTGAAGCTAGCCGAGGTCGCCCGACGCCGCCCAGTCGCTGGGTAACGATGCGCTGGTCGGGGCAGGGGTGGCCCCTCGACGCCCTGGGAATCTCGGCACCACCGATGCCAGCCAAACTGCCCAAAAGGCATCCGCCTTTCGCGCGAACACCTCGCGTGCGCGGGGGCCGGCCCCTGGAGAGGCCCTGGCCTCTCGAAGAGCGGGCCGCCCTGAGCTCAGCCTTCGATGGAGGCCTCGGAGATGGGGTCCGAGCAGATGGGGTTGGAGGATTGCACCGCATCGCCGATGCATCGGCGGTGCCTCGGCGATGCATCGGCGATGCCCCAGCGATGCATCGGCGATGCGGCGTGATCGTCCGAATCTAATTCGGACCCCACCTGGGAGGCCTAGATTCGAACGACTCGGCTTCCTCGAGCCGCCAGCCTTCCCCGGGACCTTCTCGAGCCGTTCCTGGACGGCCTCGGGGCCCGCAAGGGGCCTCCTCTGGACGTCGAAGCTGGCGAGAGAGAGAGCCTCCAACGCGATTGTGCTCAGAGCCGCCACGGGGGGGCCTCGAGACTGTCCTGGGGTGCTCTATTGCCAGAGCCCCAACAGGGAATCCTGCCGTGGCGACGCAAGGCCCCCACAGGGGGCCAAGAAGAGCTGAGGACCCCCTCAGAAGCCTCGAGAGCGGTTCTTCATGTTTCGCGATCGCGGCCGTTACAGGCCCCAGCCCCCTCCCATTCCCCCCCAAAGTAACGTCACGATTCGTGCTGACCTCAGAGCCGTCTCACGGCATTCCCAGGGGAAGGGGAACGCGTTTCCTCCGCGTTCCCAGAGCGCGCCGGCGCGAAACGTGACGCTACCGCCCCCCCACCTCCCCGCCCACTGGCGACGCCCGCTACCCGTCGGTCGGAAGAAGTGGGTAGAAACAGGAAGCAGGAAGGCGTTGGCGTAGATTGGGCTTCCGCCCTCCCCCATGAGGAGGAGGGAAAAGGAGAAAACGCTGGATCCTTGAAGTAGGAAGGCGCCCAAAGTAGACTGGAAGATGTGGCAGAGTCCAACAAGTGCCTACTTTCAACGACCGACGTGTGGATCTCCCAAGGCCACGCAAAAGTTGGAGTACCATGTGGAAACTGCTCTAGAGCAAGAACATACCGTACACGCAGATCCCCTTTCTCCGACTTTGCACCGCGCCGAACGCATCGGCCACACTGTCCATAGACGTATCCGCCCTGAAAGCGTCTATGGACGTCACGGCACCCCATGTGACCACAGACGCTTTTGGATAGGACGTGAGGGCGGTCTTTGGCATCGACCCCAGATGTTAGTCTTCTAGAAGCAGGCAGGCGTGGCCCTCCAACGCAGAGAGGAGGCCTCGGGGCCTCGGAGGCCTCCCACCCTCCTCCTCCCATCCTCACCCTCCTCCTTCTCCCCCTCCTCCTCCTCCTCCTCCTCCTCCTCCTCCGCCTCCTCCTCCTCGTCCTCGTCCTCGTCCTCGTCCTCGTCATCCTCGTCCTCGTCCTCGTCCTCTTCCTCCTCGTCCTCGTCCTCGGGGCCTCGGGGCCTCCAACTCTAGAGCGCCAAAGGAGGCCTCGGGGCCGCCCCCCGAAGCTCCGGCGCAGGCTGCCCGTGCAAACGCCGCCCGCGCCGCCGCGCGCGCGAGCACGGTTCGAGGCCGCCTACTCCTCTTCCTCCTCCTCCTCCTCCTCCTCCTCCTCCTCCTCCTCCTCCTCCTCTTCTCCTCCTCCTCCTCTCCTCCTCCTCCTCCTCCTCCTTCCTCCTCCTCCTCCCCCTCCTCCTCATCCTCCTCCTCCTCCTCCTCCTCATCCTCCTCCTCCGCGCCGCATCACCGACACATCAACAAGACGTCGGGGACACATCGGCGATGCACTGGCGACGCCGCCGATGCATCGGCGCCGTCGGCGTGGAGAAAGTCCGACTCCACCATCGACGACGCATCGTCGGCGCATCGGTGGTGCGGCGAGCTCCTCTGGCCCCAGCCACTCCGACCCCACCAAGGAGGCCCAGAGGGGTGCGGGCCCCCGAGGCGCGGCCGGGGGCCCCGCGGACCTCCTCGATCGAGGAGGTCCGGCCCCCCGCGCGCGCGCATGAGAGCGGCGGGGCGGTGGGCGGCTCGCCCGACGCAGGGGCGCCCAGGCGGCCTCTGCGCGCGCGGGGGGGGGGGGGGCAACATTAGGTCGGGCATGTCCTCCTACACGCGGATCTGGGTAGAAAAAATGAAAGATGGGCCTAACATGTTCAAGAATAGCCAGGAATACTCGACAGATCGTCCCCGTACTATTTTGTAGACTGTTTTGGGATATTCCCTACCTAGGCTCTGCCTAGAGGGTTCTTACTCTATTAGCGTAAAGAGGCCGGGCAGTGGGCTTCGCCCCGGGCGGTTCCCCCGGTCCCCGCCCCGCGGTTCCCCGAGTTGCGCCCCCTTACCTTAGTTTTGCGTATATCATCTTAGCTTAGCTTAGCTTAGCTTAGTTTAGCTTAGCTTCATATTAGCTTCGCTAAGCTGTAGCTTAGCTTAGCTGAACTTAGCTTATCTTAGCTTAGCTTAGTTTATCTTAGCCCAGCATAGTATAACATAGCGCAGCATAGCATAACACAGCGCAGCATAGCATAGCATGGCATAGCGTAGCGCAGCATAGCACAGCATTGCATAGCATAGCGCGGCATAGCAGAGCATACCATAGCCTAGCATAACATAGCGCAGCCTAGCGTAGCATAGCATAGCGCAGCATAGCGCAGCATAGACTAGCATAGCATAGCATAACATAGTGCAGCATAGCATAGCATAGCATAGCATAGCAAAGAAAAGCAAAAGCACAAGCAACGCAAAGGAAAGGCAAAGCAAAAGCAATGTGCAACAGTACGATCAGAGAGCCCACCCGGTGAGCGAATGCAAAAACATGCGTGTGTATGTGTGCGAAGACAAAGCAAAAGCAAAACCAAGCAAAAGCAAAAACAAGCAAAAGCAAAGGCAACTACGACGATGAGGAGAAGGAGGAGGACGGCGTTTACCGTTACTACTAATGCTGCTTTCCTAGGGGCTCCAACTCCTAGGTAGAGTCGCACTGGGGTAATTCCTCCTGTAGAGACACGTGCCCGACTTCAGGGTAGCACGACGAAGCCAGGGCGAGGATAGCGTCGAGTCTCTGAGATCCCGCGGCTCTGGAGGAAACTCGGGTGAGGACAGATCGAGAATCTCTGAGCTCCCGCGGCTCTGGAGGATTTCACCGGAGGCCGAGGGCCGCCGGCGCGGCCCAAGGGCGGCGGCAGGAGGACAGGGCGAAGCCCCCAGCAGGGCAGAGGGGCAGGCGGAAAGAGCCGAGAGGCGACCCGACAGCAAAAAAAACGGGCACGACGTGCCTCCACGGGGGGCGCCAATCCAGCTGCAGGCCGGGCTGGGGGCGCCGGAAGGCGCCCCAGCCAACCCCCACGGATCGGGGGGCGGATTGCAGCGGGCGATGCGCGTGACGGGGGAGGGGGGCGGGCCGTCGAAACCGCGAAGCCGCCCCACGCCTGCGCCCAGAAAGCATGGGGGATGGGGCGGGGGGGCCAAGGAGAGCCTTGAGAAAAACACCTTTCACGAACGCAAAGCCCCCTTAGAAGAGTCGATACCTCGGGACGCCGCGGCCGTCTCAGAGCGCGGGGAGGGGGGTAAGACGGAGCCAGGAAGAGGACGCTGCCCCGGGCGGGGGGGGGCGGAGAGCGCCCGCCGCCCGCCACACCACGAGGCGACGAATGCCAAAGGGAGGACGTGTGCAGGAAGGTGGGGCGGGGGAGAGAACGTCTTTAGGACGAGGCCAGGACGAGGACAACATCGGGCGAGATCCCGCGGCTCTGGAGGAACATCGGGCGAGGGTGAAGCGAGAATCTCAGAGCTCCCGCGGCTCCGGAGGCTGCCTCGTGGCGCCGCGGCCATCTCAAAGCGCTCCAGGACGCTCTGGGAGCTTTCCAGCACGCTCTGGAACGGAGGACTCGCGCGGGGGGCAGAGGGCAGAAAATCCACCCCCAGGAGAAGCACCCCGACAAGCGAAGCCGTCTAGTACACGCAGCCAAGGAATAAATCGAGCAGGGCAAGGCTGTTCCGTGAACGCCCAGGGCCGATCTGAGAACGCCGATTGTCGGGTTCTTGGTGGTTTGTCCTCCCTTGAGGGGAAGGGCAGGGAGACCCCAGAGTCGAATCCAGGAGTCGGATGGGCGATCGAGATGACTCGGATCGGCAGAAACTGGTGGCCAACCTGGGAAAAAAGACGAACCGGCGGAAACCGGGGGATCGGTGAGGCCGGCATTGAGAGATCGGAATCCGAATCGGAATCTGCTTCGGAATCAGCTTCGGAATCCGAGTCGGAATCCGAAGTCGGAATCGGAATCCATCGGAATCGAATCGACTCGAATCGAATCGGAGGAATCGAAGTGAGCCCTGAACACGAGATGGATCGGCGCGCGCGAACGTCGCGCCCCAGCGGCTCACGGCGTCAGAAGCCAAGGGGGACCGCCCCCCCCCCCGAAGGAGCTGCCCGGTGGGGGGAGCCCGGGCAAGCTGGGCCGGAATGCCAGCAGGCAGCAGGGGGGGGGGGGGACGAGGAGACTCCCGGGGAGCCTCCCAGGGAGCCAAGGCGTGCCTGCCCATCGGCGCCTCGCCCTGGCCGTCGGAAGGCCAGCAGGGGGGGGGGAGCACGGGGGAGCTGCCGGGGAGCCTCCCGGGCAGCCACGGCGCGCCTGCCCGCCAGGGCCTCGTCCTGGCCGTCGGAAGGCCAGCCGGGAGGCGGAGCACGGGCCGAGACCCCCGACGTCCTGCTGCTTTCAGCACGGGGCCCCCGGAAGTGCCGACCCTCTCCTGAAGGGGCCCTGGGACACACACACACACACACAAATATATATATATATATATATATATATACACACACAAACACAAATAACCGGATGCCCCCAGATGTTCCCACATTTTCTGGGCTTCTGTCTTCCTCCCTACTTCCCATATTTTCCTATATTTTATGAGGAAATCGGCGATGAATTGTGTCTGTGTGTTTTTTCCCCTCCTGAAACACGGGGTCCCCGGAAGTTCCGACCCTCCCCGGGACCAGGTGC